AAAAGTGATAATAGATATACTGATACTTTATTAGTATACTTAAATATGGAATCAAAGAAAGAGAAATATGCATAAATTGGAATAGCTGTTTCTCATGTATATATTTTTTTTACTTGACTCGTTATCCTGTATTGTTGAAGAATGACAGGTCCTTTAAGCAAAACTTTGAATCATATATTTGATGATACAGCAGAGAGTCTCTTCCATTCTTACGTCTGATGTTACTAAAATTTCTTTTTAACAATGGAACATTCTTTACAATATTTGAAATTCTTTTCTGTTGAAATATTTCCTCCATAGAAAAAGGAAGGTAAATGCAGTTTGAGAGAAGAAAATTTTCTCTTAGGTATAGATTCTGGATTGTTTAGTTAGTTACATGCAGATTTACTATTGATGCATTATTCATGCATACCTTTATTATAGATCAGTAATCAACACCTGCTGATTTTTCCTGAACAATGTTATGTGAATTAAAACAATTTGGAATTTTTTACCCCTAAAGACCTATTCACTATGATCATGGCAAATTGCAGAATTTGCATAAGGTGGCAATTGTAGCAGGTCTCTCAAAAACTGGCAGGATTTTTCTGGTCTTTTTGTTATGAATGAAATGTATGTTATGACAACTAATATATCTGATTCTGTTTGGCACGTTTCCTTCATAGTATCAACCTGCATACCCTCTCTACCCTTGGAAGCCCTCCTCTTGTTTTCCTGCCTCTTTCTTCCTGTCATTGAAATAGAGTGAGATGTAGAATTCGAGTACTCCATTTCATATTTCTTCCAGCAAACCCTAGAACTTCCCCTCTTCCCACCTGCCACACACCATGATATGATATGGTATATCATTGTCTTTATACTATGAATTCATTATTTAAGTAAGACTTTCCCTAAAATATATTTTTACAGGAGGAGACCCACCAGCACAGATGCCAGAAGGGACCTTTGGAAAGCCATCATTTATAGACTGTGTTCGTGAAGAATACCATGCTTGTCGTGAAGGAGTTGGTGTTATAGATCTCTCCTCTTTTACAAAGATTGAAATTACGGTAAGCTACCTTTGGATGTGTTGTTATACTTAAGTTCTTAATGTTTCAATATTTAGAAAAGAACTAAAGTGAAATTGATTTTAATGTATATAAACAGTAACTATATATTGGTATATCTGTATATCTACAATGTCATTGTGTTTATAATGCAATTCAGAATGCTGTTATTTTTCCCCAAGTGAAAATATCAGCAGGGACAGATTAAGTACATGGCAACTCATCTACCTCTGTCTGCCCACACATCTCAGTACAAGATGATGAATCATTTGCTGATTATGTTGTAATAATGAAGGTGTACAGTGTCTGCTGAAATCTTATTTCTTCAACTGCAGTGTATTTTATTATTGATAGTGATGGGGTCAAAGATTACAAGTAGGGATGATATATTAAAAATGAGAGTAATTGATCTTTAGGGGGCCATCACACTGGAGACCGAAGTTCATCATTTATAATCAGATTTTCGCGATTTTTCAATATGATATATATACATATACAGTGATAAACACCACCGAGTTTCATATAATTTGAATAAAAAACAAAGTTATTTTAAAAACAAGTTTTTGAAAGATCACAAAATTTGATATTTGCACTTTATCCATTAACCAAACTTGTTGAAAAAAACAGTTTGGTTAAACAACTTGCACAAATAATAAGAAGTTTCTTTGAGTATAGGGTTTAGGGGAGTTAATGTTCTTACCCTGTGATGAAACTGTGAGTCTAGATTGGAGAATTCAGGTACAGTATTTTTGCAACAGGGCAGTGACAACAGTGCATAGTGCAACACAGCAAAATTGATTATGAACTGGTTGCAAGATTTTCATTTTGATTATTTCTCTGACTGGCCAGTATTTCCCCCAGCTCTTTCCCCCCTCATTAGGAAATATCTGGGATATCATAAAGCATCACTTGTAGGGCATCAATGAACTTAAAATTCAAGGCTGCTGCAAGCTGTTTGTTAGTCAATTAGTATTGGCCTCTGCAACATGCTTGCAGAGTCCTTTGTTGTGGGACTCAAGCTCATGAGAGCAAATAAGGGTAGTGTGCCCATATTCTAAGTGTTTCCTATGAAAGAAATTCATTTAGTTTTGACATTTTGAATTTAACATCATTCAACTTTATTGGTTATGCTGGTTACAAATTCAAAGTAGAACAAAGAATAATAATATTGATGTTGAAACTAATATCTAACCATCATTTTTTTTTTTTTTTTATGTTTGTTCATATCTTTAAAGTAGATTTCATCAGTACTTTAAAGTAGATTTCATCAGCACTCTCTCTTATTTCCTATGTGGTTTCAGGACTTTCAATGGGAGAGATTCAAGATATTATGGATGTAGCCATTTGTTGTATACAGATTCAAATGGTACTACAGATATTTAAATATCTTGCTGTCTTAGAAACTTTAGTATCAGATTAATATAGTTCATGGAAAAGTTTAGATATGAAGACAT